TCGCAGAAATAACATGTAAAATTTTTACTCGAATCACGAATCATTTTACTTTTCCTAAAGTCTTAATACATATTTATCAAGTTTGATTTTATTGAAATAGTTTGACTCATCTGGAGGCATGCAGCTTTAAATGATATGAGCCGTGTCACGACAAAACAACATAATGCGTTTGCGACCAGCATGGATCCAGACCAGCGCTGCGCATCCGCAGTTCGCTATCAGTTTCTCTACTTGTAATAGAGTTGGTAAGCGAACAGCATGGATCCTGACCAGACTGCGCGGATGCGCAGGCTGGTCTGGATCCATGCTGGTCGCAAACTCACTATGTTGGATTTGTCGTGACACGGCTCATATGTATCAAATAATTTGGTATATACAGCGCTGACTGTTAAACTGAAATACTTATCACACATATCACACTTTTTACACACACACAAAAAATTGAAGATTAAAATTTAAAGATGTCATCAAATTTCATACCATCGTCTATGCTCATATACTAACAAATGCGCGCACATACCGCTTATATATGGCTTATTCAGACTCTCACCGCAAAAATTCAAACAATTTTTTTGCGGTAAATTTAATTGCGTAAAACAATAATTGCCTTTATTTTCGTCGCATGAGATGAACTAACTTTTAATTAACTTTTAAGTTGTATACTACACAAGGCTTTGGTACGGCATTCATTGTTGTTGTTTTTTACGGGGGCGGGGACCCCTTTTGAGAAGGGGATTGGGGACGGGGTTATTTCTCCTCTTAAGACAACATTGTACAATTATAATGAAAACATAACAGAATAAATTTGACACAATACCGCACTATAATAAAGATGAATTTCGATTTATTGCAATCATCGTGGTGTTGTTGTTGTTGCTTTTTTCACCGGATATTCTTGTAATGTTTCGTTCTTGGACACTTACCCAGTTGTATCCCGTTTCACAAATTGTAACTTTGTCCCTTTATTCACACAAAGATACAACTATTCGAGATTTATACCGCTTATACCGCCTTCGAAAATCGCTCGAAAATAAGAAAATAGTTTAACCGTTAGAAATTAGAATCATTATATTTCATGTATAAGGATACGCATAAACGAGAAATTAAAAATAAAATGTTTGTTAGAATTACATATTTATCGTTCATTTTCGTGTTTATATACCTTTTCTTAAATGCTAAGATACGAGATAAATCTCGCGTGGCCATTTCTCTGAGCCAGAAAAAAGTTACAATTTGCAAGAACAAAGCATCGTGCTATCCACTAACCAACTGTGCTGGTTCTTAATAAATCATGGTTTTAAAACTTAATGTTTACACGTCCCGTTGAGCCAGTCTACCGTACATGGTACGCCATGATTTTATCGTAATTGTGCCACTCAATATTGAAATAAATTTACATCAGATCTCTCTTTGCCGTAAAATATGTTAATTATACAGATGTCAGAATCATCCATATTTGACAGTTTTATAGGCAAAGATGAAAATATGGGTCAAAGTTGAAGATCTGATTTCCGCGTTTGTTCGAATTCGACTTTACAATGAGAAGGCCTTTATATCTTATTTTCTGATATTCTATTTTCTTCAGAAGCGTTTATTTTAACCATTCTTTTAAACGTCGCGTTTATCTGGAAAACACCCCTCGCGCCTACGAAAATGAAGTCAATGACTACGTTAGACAGCACGAAAAAAATAAACGCTTTAACAACACCAGCCTCTTCTTTTGAGATGTGTGTTCTTATTGGCGTCTATTACTTATGATCTACATGCTTTCATTCAAAGTTTTTCTAGAAAAACTAAAACTGGCTCTGCCATGGCGTGAATACCCCGCATACCACTTTGTCAGACTCAACAGTGGTCATTTAGAGCTCAAGGACAACCTCCCAGCTAAATCTGAGGGAAGTAAGCCAGTGCATTGTTAAGTTATGTATTCTACATGTTTTTAGTGACAAAGATCAAAGTGACCTTTACCTTTGACCTACTAACCTCAATACTGAAACTGCCACTGAATGACTTCAATAACCCCCCCCCCCCATATATGCAGCTTTGCCTGGAGGTGTTTAATGATGAATATATGAGAACATAAAATATGCTTCAAATGTGAAAATGTAAAACTCAATACACTGTGGACAGGCATTCTTAAGCATTTTAGAAGAAAAGCTTATTGTAATAAAAGCCCCTGTGACCTTGACCTTTCACACAGTCACCAAAAAATCAAAAGGGGTAATCTAATAGTCATAACCAACCTCAATACTAAATATGAAGACTGTTGAGCAAAGCATTCTTATGCAATTGAGCAGAAAAGCTTTTTGAACTAAAGGCCCCTGTGACATTGACCTTTGACCCAGTGACCTCAAAATCAATATGGGTCATCTACTAATCATGACTAACCTCCATGCAAAATATGAAGACAGTAGGTCAAAGGATTCTTAAGTTATTGGGCGGACAATATTTTTTCCGTCAAGGCCCCTGTGACCTTGACCTTTGACCTGGTGACCTTAAAATCAATAGGGTTCATTGACTTATCATGACTAACCTCCATGCAAAATATGAAAACTGTGGGTCAAAGGACTCTTAAGTTATTGGGGGACAAGCTTTTTGAAGTCAAGGCCCCTGTGACCTTGACCTTTTACATGGTGGCCTCAAAATCAATAAAGGTCATCTAATAATCATGACTAACCTGCATGCCAAATATGAAGACTGTGGGTCAAAGGTATCTTAATTTATTTGGGGACAAACTTTTTTCATTAAAGGCCCCTGTGACCTTGACCTTTGACCTGGTGACCTCAAAATCAATAGGGTAATCTACTAATCATGACTAACCTGCATGCCAAATATGAAGACTGTGGGTCAAAGGAATCATAAGTTATATGGCGGACAAGCATTTTGAAGTCAAGGCCCCTGTGACCTTGACCTTTGACCTGGTGACCTCAAAATCAGTAGGGGTTATCTACTAATCATAACTAACTTCCATGCCAAATATGAAAACTGTTGGTCAAAGGAATTTTAAGTTATGGGGCGGACAAGCATTTTGAAGTCAATGCCCCTGTGACCTTGACCTTTGACCTGGTGACCTCAAAATCAATAGGGATTATCTACCAATCATAACTAACTTCCATGCCAAATATGAAAACTGTTGGTCAAAGGAATTTTAAGTTATGGGGCGGACAAGCATTTTAAAGTCAAGGCCCCTGTGACCTTGACCTTTGACCTGGTAACCTCAAAATCAATAGGGGTCATCTACTAATCATGACTAACCTGCATGCCAAGTATGAAAACTGTGGGTCAAAGGAATCTTAAGTTATTAGGTGGACAACCATTTTGAAATCAATGCCCCTGTGACCTTGACCTTTGTCCTGGTGACCTCAAAATCAATAGGGGTCATTTACTAATCATGACTAACCTGCATGCCAAATATGAAGACTGTTGGTCAAAGGAATCTTAAGTTATTTGGCGGACAAGCAAAAACCGACGGACAGCCGGACGGCCGGACAGCCGGACGGACAAGCTGATTCGAGTATACCCCCCTTACAACTTTGTTGTGCGGGGTATAAATATGCTTATGTAAGGACTTACACTATTAATCAGTTCACCCTATTGTTTAAAGTTGATGATACATCCGACAAAATGTTAACTCATGTAACATTCTTCTCTTCAATGTGTAGCTTTACAAAGATAATTACGTAACCTTTTGCATTTGATAGGCGTTATATTCTTTTATTTAAACAGACAGGTTTATTGGCAAATTACTATTAAGAATTATATGAAGTTTAATGGTATGCCAATTTTATATCATAATAAATTATTCATAACCCATGACCTTAGCATATAAGATATTACATTTGCTTTCATATATAGGCCTACAGCTAGTCACATATAGCCTCATGTAGTAACATGCGCATTTTTAATGAAGAATTACATGACTTCCAGTGTGTCAAAGGTTTTTCAAAACTGACATCAAATTCAAATAAAGGCCTTGATTGACATAGATTTGACATAAACATTGTCCTCACGATCATTTAAAAACTAAATTGGATCAATTATACACACATCAATGTCTAAAGAATGCCAAAATAAGAAATATGACGATATAACATAGTCCTCGTGAACATTTCTGGTCCCAGAGACAAGTCGGCTCAGTCGAAGCAGGATGGCCAAACATCCGGGTATGTAGTTTTGTATATTTATATATAGCGTACAACTCAAATAATTACATTTTGCTTGTTTAAACATATTATTATTCAAGATATATACACTTGTTGGTAATTAATACAATAAAGCATAACCATTTAGTTGATAATTATCAAATTAAGTAATCAAATTTTTCAATATGTAAGTTTGAATAATTAATTGATTAAATTTCTTCAGCGTTCATTTTTCAAAACGTGTTCAAAATTCTTATCTACTATCCGCTGCTGCAAGATATTTCTGCGTAATTTTACAACCAGAATTATTTTACTTGTAAACTTTATCCAGATGTATGTTAAGTACGATTAAAATGAAACCTTAATATTGAATACATGTATTCCGTTCATGTTTTGTAAAAAAAATTAATGCCAAATCTATTTTTTTTTCATGAAGATAAAATCAGTTTTACTAGATTCAATTAAATTGAGCCCGTAATATTTTTAAGTTTGTCATGTAAAGCAACCTACTATGGTTTAAATGTTTCAATTTTATAATTTTTCATTTCTGTAATTGAATAACTACATTGAAATCTTAATTTTTAATTTCGGGTGTGATGTTTGGCTGATATTTGTATTGTATCGGGTTCATTGGTGAGGCGCATATTTTTGACTCTCTGACGCAATTCGTTCTCCGTCGATTTATATGTTGAAATTTGTTAAAAAGTCCCAGTTTACTCAAAGTAAGAATTTGTTCGGATTCCAGGATACAGCATGCCAATATAAAAACGTAAACCAATAAAAAATGGCGTTAAAACTTCAAGGAACTCCGCTGAGGTGACAGTGAGGTCCAAGTACGAAACGCATAATTTAAAAGTAATTCATTTGTACGTTCTTTCTTTCTTTTCCTTTGATCAAAAAGAGTGAATAATTAAAAGCAATATATCAGAGAACATCGTATTATAATTGATAAAATAATCGATAAAAATAGCTGCCAAAAAATGCTTTTATTAGCTCGAAATCGGTCAGTCAATTCGGGGAATTTCTAAAGCATGCTTTATGTATCAGCATGTTGAAAACACGACAAACAATGACCATGTCCGAATTTTGGCCTTTGCATTTTCGCCTCACCACATGACATTTCCACTTTATCGTTTTGCGGGGTAAAAAGCAAATGGTCGGAAGTACAACGTCAACAATGCCCTACAGTAACTGTCGACCTTATGCTCTGTCAGCATAAAAACGCGAGTACTCGTCATCACTTGCAAAAGTCAGTTCTTTGAGCGGCAGTTTTATAAATGGTATGTGAAAAAGGCTTATCCATCGAAACTATATATGGCACCGTCAAAAATAACAATTACTACTAGTAGGTTTACACATGTACACATTTTTAATCTATGTATATTTTCAGTTACGATGAGGATGCTGTTCTTAATTGCCATTCAATTAGCGATAACCTCCGCACATCCTCCGACGTCACCAAGGGGTCCGCCACATCTCGGACCACCTCCCATGGGCCTACCACCTGGTCCTGGTCCTCATATGTACAGATCAAGGGGTTTCGCCGGAGGGTACTTCAGTGGTGGAGGCAGCGTCTATGCATCATACGGACCATACTCATACAGACGGGGTTATCCAGGACACGGAAGATTTGGTGGGTTGAGATATGGCTTTAGGGATGGAAGAGATAATAACGACAGATTTGGAGACAATAGAAATTATGGCGATTTGTTGGGTTATGGTTCTGGAGGCGGCTATAGAAGATATGGCGAACGTAGAGATTTGGACTATAACAATTTTAACAATGACAACAACAATGGTTATGACGGTAGACGGTACTATGGTATTGGAAGAGGTATGAGTGGTGGGTTTGGTCCCGGCTATTCTCCATATTCCACATACCGTATAATGGGAGGATACGGTGGTGGCAGGGGAGGGGATGCATACAGTTCATTAGGTCAAAGGTACGGGAGATATGGTCCAAGACTATTTGCCGGATATAGAGACCTTAATGACAATGGCTATGGCAGAAACTTTAACAATGGTTTTGATAGAAACTTTGACAATGGCTATGGTAGGAACTTTGATAATGGCTATGGTAGAAACTTTGACAATGGCAATGGAAGAAACTTCAACAATGGCTATGATAGAAACTTTAACAATGGTTATGGTAGGAACTTTGGCAATGGTAATGGTAGAAATCTTGATAACGGCTATGGTAGAAACTTTGACAATGGTTATGGAAGGAACGTTGACAATGGCAACGGTAGAAACTTTGACAATGGCTACGGTAGAAACTTTGACAATGGTATTGGCAGAAACTATGAATATAGCAGAAGGTAATTCCTTTATATCAACTTAAGCATCAAAATGTTATATATTGTACCATTTCCGTTATAACGTTTATTTTTTTCGGTGTGAACTCGAAAAGCAATTCACATTAGTTCGATTCGTATGGGTTTGTGGGTAAAATCTAACCGGTTCAGATTCTAAGCAGTACACATCCAAAATATAGTGAGTCATAAATGTTTAACGTAGGCATAATGTTGACTTAAATGGAATTAACATTGGTGTGTCATTTTTGTCTATATTCAGTAAGATCACTTATAGACCATCTTAGATGGAGTACTTCGTTTAGCAAACAACTCTTTTTTTTATTAATATTTACATCCATTTTATCTTTTTTATGCTAATAAAGAGGTTTTGATGAAAACAATGGAGGCCGGTACAGATCCAGAGGAGGTAACAGTAATGGCTACGAATCAAGAATAGGTAGAGCATTAGGGGGAAACGGGTACAACGACCTGAATAACAACCGAGACAACAATCACAATGGTAACAAATACGACAATAGAAACAATGGTAGAAATTATAATAATAACAACGGTGGTAATTGGGACAATTCTATGGACCATTTTTATGCTAATGGTGGATTTGATAGTCGTATACAAGGTGGCGCTCGACAAAGTGGTTCGGGAAGTGGCAGCCGCGGCAGTGGCTCCAGAGATGGTGCTCGTCGAAGCGGGTCGAGAAGTGGCAGCCGCAGCATTGGCTCCAGAGACGGTACCCTATACAATGATGCAGGGAGCGGTAGTCAATATAGTGGTTCAGTTAGTGCAAGTGGCGGACGTTACGATGGTAATAACAATGGCAACGGAGGGCTTTATGACGTAAATTATGATAGATATGTTTACAGGAGAAACAGTGAAGAAGATAAAACCAAAATTTCACGTAAAGTTATATCTTTTGGTACCGATATGAAAACTGGTGGTTCAGGTGTGTCAGCTCCTGTTTTGGGTGCCGCTGCAATAGATGTTGGACTAGGTGCACCTATTAACGATGTAAATTACAACAACGGAGCGGCAGTCGATCTTGGCGGAAATAACGGGCCAGGGGCCACGGGTATCTCAGGAAACTCTCTAAAAGGAGCTGCTCGTATAAGAAAACAAGGTGTTGGAAATGATCCATATGCATCCTCAGCTGGCGGAGTTTCATCTGGAGGCATGCACGTTGATCCACCTATTGCTGGAGGTAGTAGTTCAGTAATGGCTACTGCAGATGTAGGAACATCCATGGCGTCTGCCTCTCTGACTGTTTAACGCAATCTTAACCATTAATCTACTGAATTTGTGCAGAAGATTTTCCCTGCTTTGAATTTGGAACAGTTTATTCAAAGTTTAAGGGATTATAAATAATAAAATACAAAAGAGGGTCACCAACACTATAGCGGCTTTTCAAACTGCACACTGGTGTGATACGGGTGGCAAAGGCTAAATCACTATGGGTAACAGCAGGCCACGGGTTAAAAATGACATTTTTCTTTTTCTTTTTACTGCCTTATTGAATATTCATTAGTTTTTGTTATAGTTATATAATTATATCTTATAAAATGGCGTGTATACAATGACGACATATATGTCACTGAATATTTTAGTTTTAGAAAATTGTTTACATTCAGGGATCAGTAAGTTTAAAGTATATACCAAGCATGTACATGTTATATTTAAAAAAAACTAAACTTTTTATGCAACATATTAAAAAACACCAAAACTACATGGTATTATAATGTATTGCCTTTCACATTGTTATTGTACTAACTTGTGAACCATTAAGTCCTTTTGTTTATTACCAATAATCAAAATTAAAAAATACTATTTTTCCATGAAAGAGATTTCATGATAAATTATTCTGATATGTTTATAAAAGGATAGCGTCGTTACAAGATTATTGTCCGCGCAGTCTGATCAGGATCCATGCTGTTCGCTATCAGTTTCTCTACTTGTAATAGAGTTGGTAAGCGAACAGCATGGATCCTGATCAGACTGCGCGGATGCGCAGGCTGGTCTGGATCCATGCTGGTCGCAAACCCATTATGTTGGTTTTGTCGTGAGGGGGCTCAATTAAAGATCAGGTTCACGATCAAAATCAGGATCAAAATTCATATTGCAAAATTCTCCTCATTTTATGCTAAAATAAACTTGAAATACTTTAAGGCGATATACAATTAGAAAAGTGATATGTTCTTTGAAATTTGAAGTTGATCCTAATATTGATCTTGATCCTAAAATTGATCATAAACCCATCTCATTTTTTGGGTCATTATTGACAAGTAAAATGAATGTTCTAGGAAAACCGGAGGAAACAAATTATCTGTAATTTTTCACACAAGTTTTTTTGTCTAGACTTACACCAAATAGTACATAAATCTCGAAAATAGAAATTCACCTTCCCACTTCTCGAAATACCTCGATGAATGGGATGGTTATGTTGAAAATGTGTATGTTTTTCAAACCAGGGAACGTGGTTTTGACTTCTTTTTAGGAAACAACAATGTTTCATTGTATGACACCAACTGAAACATTTTAGGTCCATATAACATATTCAAAAGTGGTTCAAATAAAAGGCAAAAACCTTGTTCATTATGATCTAAAATAAATGTCAGCTTAAAACTTAATCAAACTACACTCAGAGGCACTTATAACCCGACACTTACATTAATTTTGTCTGTATAAATAAGTTATTTGTGGACGGATTTTGGTCAAATTCGGACTATACAAAATTCAACATGTCGTACTTATTACTTAAAATCATATTTACAATTCATCGATAAGAAACTAGAGAAAATAGCAAAACAAATATGCTACTTCAAAATGAAAAGTCACAGAATGGCTGTAAATATCGTAACAAAATGAATAGTCTCTGAATCCCAATACTTTGTATGTCCTCCCAATTGGCTATAACAATGTAAACACCTCTGTCTCATAGTTCTCCATTCCCGAACAATGGCTTGCTCGAGTTGCAGCAAATTGAGAGCGGTTTTCACACGCCTGTTCAATTCTGCCCACAAGTGTGATATTTAGATCTGGTGACTTGGGAGGCAGGAGTTGCTGGGACTCGAGTAAGCCTTGTAGGAGCACATTTGTCTCGGAGCACATTTGTCTCACGAAGTGTGACCGATGTGTTCGTAAACATTCATATTTGCGACAAATTGGAAATGAGACAGATGTGTTCGACACACAATAGAAAGGACACTCGAAGCACATTTGTCTCACATTTTTCCATAAAATTCTTAAAAGGTAATAAGTATGCCCATCTGTATGCCGGCTACCAGCCATTGTTCTGTGTTTTCTGTATTAATAATACCGTTTTAAGGTCACTTCCGGGCAGTCAAAGACTTCCTGCCTCTGCATAGGAGTCATATATTAAGTTAAAGAATATCCCTGTGCTGCATGTCACAATGAAAATTTCTACAAGTGTAGCATCCAGAACCTAAACACATATGCAGCAAGTCTATTCTTATCGTTATTAATTGTGACACGTTTATTTTCAATACTTAAAGTTTTATAAATGATTTATGGCACTAGAAATATCTAAGCAAAAAACAAGGTAGTATCTACGGTGGCATAAAGGGGACATAAAATTTTCTTATTTATTACGTGCGCACACGATAGCTTTTACGTGGCCTCGCGATACTATTACGTGCGTACGCGATAGCTATTACGTGCGCACGCGGATATGTATTCCGCATTTGGACCCTGACCTGGATCCTCGCATGAATAGTTCGACGCCCCGTGTATGTGTCGAACCTACAGCGGTTAGGGGCAAGTGGTTTTTAGAAATCACTCGGCCACGGAGGCCCTTAAATGATCTATGGAAGAAAATAAGAAGACCATTACACACGTATTTTCTTTCATCAGAAATATATGTATGACAAATCGTCATTTTCCAAGAATAGATACAATGTCGGAGTATCCCGTACCACGAGATTTCAGACTGAAATGTCTTAAGATAGGGCAAGTACGAATTTATTAATATTCAAATAATTATTTCTGAGGAAGTTAGATGCTTGTAACCCAAAACAAATTCGCGATAAAGTCATAAAAGTAGCAAAATGTAAACAAAGTAGTATTTTGACTTCAATACAAAATTCTAAATCACTTCAACTGTACAAACTGCAAAAAAAAGCAGCAGATGAAAAAATGTTTCAGGTAATTAGCCAATGAGTAACTTTTTGGAGCTATACAAGTATACCAAAAGGAATACAAATAAAAGCATTTCTCAGGCATAATGGGCCTTTAAGTGATTTTATGTAGACTATAAAGAGAATACTAAGTAGCGGTATATGACCTGGAATCAATTTCTTGTCTCGCGTCATCGAACGAGATGCGAAGCGAGACGCGAGATTTCGGCGAGATGCGAAACGAGTCACGATATTGTGTCATTCAATATCAACCGATTACGGTGTTCCGTTAGGACATAAGTAACATTTTTGTCTCCCTGAACAGCTATGCCCAATGGTACAAAGGTGAAATTGAGATGGTACGATGGTACGCTGATTAAAACACGATGGCACGATGGTGAAATCACGATAATACGATGACACGATAGGGGGAAATAATATCGTTTTCATCATCATGCCATCGCAGTTTCATCATATCGTACCATCGTATTTTCACCATCGTAACATCGTCTTTCACCATATGACCATCAGGTTTTCATCATTGAGCCTTCGTTGTTTCACCATCGTACAATCGTTGTTACGCCATCGTAAAATCGTTGTTTCACGTTCGTACCATTGCGTTTTCACCATCGCTCCATCGCGTTTTCATCAACGTACCATCGTGCCATCGCGCTGTCACCATTGTACCATTGTGAACGGTATTTAGTATGTTTCAGTGTACGCCAATCACTTTCTTGAATTAGAGATATAATAATTAATACTAGTAGTTCACTTCAGGTTTTCGTAAAGAAAGCATAAGCAAACCAATTGTTGATTACAATTGGCATGAGGTAAAACGGCGAACCTCAATTCTAAAAAAGAATTTCTGTCGTGGGGAAATATGTGACAAATAATTCATAAAAATGACATGAGACAAATGTTCTTTTTTGTCCCATAAAAACGCATGAGACAAATTTGCTTTCTTGTCCTATAACGACTTGATCGGGGCACATTTGTCACACAAATTAGTTTTTTTGGTAGATATTTGAGATCCCATTTGTCTCATATGGGAAAAATGCGACGCATCGGTCTTACGTAAGGCAAATGTGCTCCGAGACAAATGTGCTCCTACAAAGCCTTTATTCAGGAATGGAGAAATATTCCCCAAGCTTTGAGAAACTACGTCATTCCCATAAAACAGGTCTTTACACGGTGTCATAGCCATGGGAGGACACACAAAGTGTGAGAACTGGTTAACATACAAATTTAGTGGGATTCAGAGACTTTTCATTTTGTTACGCTATTTACAGTCATTCTGTGATTTTTCATTTTGCAGTAGCATATATATTTTAGTTATTTTCTCTATTTTCTTGTCATTGAATTGTAAATAAAATTCAAAGTAGTAAATATAATATGTTGAATTTTTTATGGTCCAAAGTTGAACAAAATCCATTCACAAATAACTAATTTATACAGAAAAAATGTAAGTGTCGGGTTATAAGTGCTTCCGAGTGTATGCAAGCTTTATTCACTTCAGTCGATACAATACATCAAAAATGAAAGCACGCATGCATTTTTGAATTCAAATGAATGAAAATATTCTATTTATACATTTCTTTCCATATTTTTTACATAATCTGATGAGTGATATACGTATCAATGGCTTTAATCGATGATTTAGCAAGCAAACTTACATTACCACTGAAACGGGCAAACAGTAGCTCAGACATTTTGAGTGTTTAAAAGAGGCAAACATAGCACTATGGGTCGCATCTGATAATGATTTCAAAGAAGTGGAAATTTTTTAATTTCTTGAACTGTTCAGTGAAATACGCTTATTAAATCCAAAATCAAACCTATACGATATTACATGTATTGACACCCAGTGATTAATGACAAAATCTCATCTATAGATAGTTCAGGTGATATGTTATAAACTTTAATACTTTCATTTATTCTAAGAAGAAGTTTGTCCCCTTTTATTCGACACTGCGTCATGTAAAACTTCTTTTCGCAAAAACATGGAAGGTCTTTGTAGCATCCGATGACGATATTAATAGTTATTTATAGGTCATGTTTTATAACTATAAAAGTTTAACAATGCACGCACCTTTGGTACCATAACTATAATTAAAACGTAATGTAATTCAAAATATAATATGCATAAAAATAAAAATAATAATGTGTGCGCTTCGATTCGACCTTACTTCGATATGTTTGCACCCTGTAAAACTTACTCATAGCCTGCAATATGGAATGGGTGGGGGTATTATCAACCTTGCAAAAAGTATCGGAGGTCTTTGAAGTTATCTTTGTTCGAATTCGGCACTCGATGAAGATAATTAGTATTTTTAATAGATAACCATATTGGTCAAAAAGTATTGCATGTTACTAAGAAAGTCAAGTGTATGGATTTGGCACGGACTGAAAATTCAGTAGAATTGAGCAGAACATTGAAACCTTACCGAATGGTCTGCTGCCAGGGTATTGAGCAGAACACTCAAACATTACCTTATGTCGATTTTAAAGATAACACATTCTTACGGGTAACATTAAGGCTTGAAAAATGAATCAAGTCAAAGTGTAAAATGTATCTTTTAATGTGTATTACATTGCCCATTAAGTATTACAAATAATGATACACACTGTAATTCTAAATGTATCTGATAGGGATATTCGAAAAATATATTTCTTAAAAAAAAAATATGATACAGTAGAGTTCTAAATGATTTAGTATGAACAATTATAAATATGATGCATAAAAAGATCTGGTCCTGAAATATGTTATTATCTGCTATAATTATGCAGATATGTAATATATGATCATTTATCTCGCACTTCACCAACAACATTCGTATAACTATGTAAAGCAAATTCTCAATCTTCGAACAATTTAAACGTTTTAAGCAAATTCTTTGACATTTCAGAAAATTGTAATGTTTTTAAACTTTCCTATACACATCGTACATTTTGACAATTTACAATTTACAATTTGACATCGTACGTTTAATTTGAAATTGTACGTAATTCTTCAGATCAGTCGTGAATTTCATATTAAGAAATGTAGTAAAACCATTGATACAGTTGTTAGAACGGACAGATTATTCTGTAATATTCTGTTACCAACTGACAAACCTACGAAATCCATCATCTCTAATACAAAGTCTGGCTCTCCTTTTTCTTTGTCTGTCTCTCTTTGGAAATGTTTATAACTTAACATCGATGCCGACTCGTGTAGAATTTCAGTTTTTTCACATTCATCTGTCTCAGGATTGACTGCATAACCTTTGGCACATGTGCACATGAAAGACCCAACAGTGTTTTTGCACAGTCTATTGTCAGGGCAGTTTGACGTCCTATCATAGCATTCATCTGTGTCGACACACATTCCAAATCTACTGTTCCAACTAAAACCTTTCCGGTCGGACGAACAATCACACGTAATATTGAATCTGTTCCGTATTAGGTCTTTGAAATTGATATTTCCATTTTTTTCCCATTTGCATTCACTATTTTTCAGTTCCAAACAGGGATTTCCTTTCACCTTAAAGTTTCTTTTCTTAAAATGACCTCTATCTTTTCTTCCATAGCAAGGGTCTGGACAGAACCAAAGCCGTGCACACGTGAAAGGGTCATTCCGGAAGTCTTCGTCTCGGATATCTTCTATAGCAGGAGTGTCGTCTCCAACCAGCTTGAATCGTTTCTTTGCCGGTATTTCATCAACGGCATTTAGATAAGATAGGCATGATTGTCTACCAGAGCTGAATTTGAGAAATTCGTCCTCCAACTGAGTATGCCAACACAGATAATACATGGCTGTCTGTCGAAATTTGAATTCCTCGTAGTAATTTTTGAATGGTGCGAATGATGGAAGTTTCTCTTTTGATTTCATTAAGTGTTGAAGTGAGCCGGACTGCCTAGCTTTGTAAACCACCTCCGTCACACACTTCATAGCTGAAGATTCGCAAGCCTTGGATGCTGTTGGATGAAGGTCTCTCAGAATCGGTGATGGAAATTTTTTGTGGAAGACTTGGTCGCTTGCTTCAATCTTCCCGGTTAAATACCGGAAGTCTACTCCGAAATATTTGTGGGCTGCGATGTATGTTCCAACCGTCCATAAGTTCGTTTTTAACCCGTTTTTGTCAATACTTTTGGCAATTCGTTCAAAGTCAGGAAGTAAAGCTTGCACGTCTTTATCATAGTCTTTGCCTTTACTTACAACGAAACCGGTATCTAACAAACAAGTAAAAAATAACACCAAACTGAAATGATTTGTTGACGCCATTGGGAAAGCACGCGTTAACTTAAATGACGTAACTTGATAAAAAAATACGTGCAGCTGACGTCAGTTTACGAGTTGGTATTTCGAGTAGATCTAATACCGTAGATGAAATCTAGTTGTTACAATAGATTTCTAATTAATTAAGATCCGTGTAAAAGCAATGCATAATTTGATAATAGACCTATTTGCACGTGATATTTCCATAGAAACGGAAACATTTCTAAATAAAAAAAACATAGAATCTACTACACACAATCGGTAGGCTGACAGCCCTGATCAATTCTAAGGATAACGTGTATCTCAAAAATTAATGAAAACTTTCTTACTTTATTTTGTAAGTAAAGACTGCCTTGAATTCTATTTCTTCACGTGCAAAATAATGTGCAGCTTAATGTGGTCCAAGCGAATATTACATTTCAGACGACGCGATAATGTAAGAGTAATCTCTCTTGAGTACTCTAAACACTCACTTTTAATTAACTAGATTTTAACTGTTTAATGAGAGAAAGATAAATTTAAAGATGTGTGGAATATGTTTATTGCTATTTGAAAAAGAAAATTCTGAAAAATTCAATTTGGTAAGTTTATTAGTAGTGTTGTAAATTAAACATGTTCATTTGTGTATACTAATTCGGACACAAGTTGTTCGGATACAAAATGTATAGATTAATTTATAATTGATTTTAGATATATTTTGAAGACAATTTACGCATGTGGCGCATTTTTGGTCTATTCTCTGTCTACATAATACCCACGAATTGTGAGTTTTCTGACCATTAATACTTGGAACTTCCAATAGGTTTTTTTTTCTTAATTTTTTCTCATATTTTTTTTGTAATTTTCTGTTATGGTAAATATATCATTTTTCACAGCAAATAAAAGTTGGGGTTTATTTTCGAAGCAAAAAAACAACAACAACTATTGTCAAACAAAGTGGAATTCATAACTCCGCTTTCCATTGTTTTCGATAATTACATATCATGTGACAGTTCTGTTCATGAGTTTTCAGTGTTCATTATTTGGCATCATTAGCATTTTCAGGATAGAAGTCCACTTCTAGCAATTCATTATCAAAGTTTATTCTCGAAATTTAAAATTGAAAGTGCTCATTTCAAAAGAGATGTAAAATGGCAATTAATTTTTCAAGTTCATTTACAAGTGGTAAAGTTGGCCATTTTGTGGCCGCTTTGACTAGCAACCACACTTAAAATGTATATGGTAACTGAACAAGATATGGTAAAGTGTTTGGGCTCCCATTGACTTTTGGCATATTGAAATAATGCAAAGGCCCAAAGTGAAACTTTATGAGTGAAAGGAAAACAAACTGCATACAATAACATGTAGGTAGAAGTTTTCAGGCATTCACCAGAAGTTCACCTCATTTATACTCTATATATACTCTTGAAAGCACTTTGCTTACCTCAAATTTTCTATGAAACAACGTGCTTGTGTTTGTTACTGTAATGGCAATGAAAAAAACATTCAAGGAATTTTACATGACATATTTTACTTTTCAGGATGACATACTGAAGAAATCATGCCTTTGTAATCGAGGACCAGATAAAAGCAAAGATGTTAAGATTGACATTGCAGAACATTTATCAGCTGTATTTACTGGCCATGTCCTTCATCTCAGAGGGGATGAAATGGCTGTGCAGCCTGCCCAAGACTCGCAGGGAAACCTGTTGTTATGGAATGGAGAAATATTTGGTGGAATAAATGTATGAAATAGTATTTTTTTTATCTATTCTAAGGAACATTTTGTTGTGATATGAAGATTCTGTATTACTACGAATTTATATTACAATTAAATTATATTGTCAATTAAAGTCCGTGGTATTACAGATAACTCTTTACATGTTTAGTTGTACGGTTAATGGGATTACTTCCCTTTACTTGATATTCATTAATGCTTTGTTATGTATATGATCATGCCTCTCTGATACATGTTCCTGAGTCATTCTCACTTGAGCTCTGGTCTTAACAACATGTATTAAATGGTTATAATAAATAGTAGAATAGTTTGAATCTTGTTATCATCCATACAACATATAAAACACATTTAAATAACATAATGGTATGGGATACATTTTTTATGCTTGGGAGTTACCCTGGAGTACAAAATTATAGGTATTAGCTTGAGTGGTTTGATTATTACATTAACAAGCAAGTAAACAACAGAAAGATCTGTCTTTTTAAGGGCATGATATACCATTGTTAAAAAAATATAATTTTGAAACTACCGTTTTGTGCAAAGCAATTCTAAAATGCCAAGTTTTAACATGAATATTGCTGGAACTTTGTAAGTTGTAACTTATTTGTGAAGAAAGCATGTAACTTATTAGTGAAATGCTTTCAAAGTCTACTTCCTGTTCCTTCCTTATACCATATTTTATTAGAAAGAAAGATGATTGTAATCAGGGGAGGTCTCAGTATTAGTCAAAATATTTTTTATGCCAAAGGTAGATTTTGAGATATTTTTGTTCTTGGTCAGAATCTTGCTTCTGATAGAGGGGAGATATTGCCCATGTGTGAAACAGCACAATATCTCAAGGCATATTACCATTAGTTGGACTAGTCAGTATCAGCACCTCTTGATTGAGAGGCAAAAACTAGGCATAGCAAATATCTTGGGACTACAAAGTCATGCATTTTCAGTGCTAAATTTAAACAAATGGTCTTAATTTAAGTGAAGAAAAGATTTATCATGTTAGTATAATACTTTAAGACGTAAATAAAGTATGGTGATTTAAGTTAATCATACATAAGTTAGCATTGAGAATACATGTATTTTGAAAATAATCTTTTGTATCATTAATTTATTGGAATCAGTAACTCTTGTGTCATATTCAGATTGGCTTTATTTAATATAGGTACCAGAATCTAAGAGTGATACTACAGTGTTGTTAGAACTGCTGGGTCAGTGTTCATCAGAGTCTCAGATCCCCGCAGTGTTAGCACAAGTTCAAGGCCCATGGTCGTTTATATATTGGCAGGTAATATTTAACCTTTAACCCAATTGAACCAAAAATGATTATCCTTTGCCGCCAGAATATTACCGCCAGGCCAGCTTGCATATCCGTGCCTGCCATTTGACCAGGCTTTTTAATGTTGGTAGCTTAAGATTTTTAAATTCGAAATAAAAGCCATAAAAATGTAAATGGTCTACTAGTATTCCGAGTTCAAAGTAGGACAAATGCTGCAAATCTTTTATATAGATTCAGTAGGTTACGCCTGAATTTTTGTTCTGCTTTTATCATACATGTAGTCTATAGTTGATTTTTTTCTATAGAAATAATGATTAATAATACATTGCAGAGAAAATTATGAAACATGTTCACATGATGGTCATGATACATTTTTCATTTGGAGCATAATCAAAGAAATAATTAACTCTTTTTAACTAGGTTTTTTATGTAAAACTGATTTTTCGATTTGTAAATTTTGGTTGGCAGGCAGCTGGGTGTAAAGAATTGTATGTAAGTATTCTATGCTAAATTGGGGTCAAACTGCCTGATAATGCACAAAAAGCCATTTTAGCTGTCAAGTGTGGACCTGGGACATGTCACAAGTCATGCCCTTAAATGGTTAATTTTGAAGCACAAATTTGTGATAATTTACCTCCATGCAAATTCCACAGAGTATTAACCAAAGATATGAATTTTGAGCCAAAAGTAGGTCATTGTAAAGCAATGCCCTTTGTTTTTTCTCAATATGTCATAATTATAATTATATTGGCAAAATACATTTCCTATCACTTGTTTATTGTTTGAACCTGTGTTTGAAGTTACAGTATTCATATGATTTTTAAAAATATTTTTATTTTGCTTAAATAACAGGCGGACACCAAAACCCTGTGGTTTGGACGTGATGTATTTGGTAGAAGAAGTCTACTTTGGCATTTACCTGAGAGCCATGATGAAGCATTTATTCTAACTTCAGTACAGATAAAACCTTGGGTAAAACATTGATATGTTCATACTAAGTTTACAAAAAACTTTATAAGATCAGCATCAAAAGTAAAAAACATAATACTGTCTGTTGATGTCTTTTTTAACAGGCGAGATTGATTTGGGTTTAATAGAAGGTGCAAGGCATATTATTCAACTATTACTTTGCTTGAACCAAAAGCCATTAACCTTTGCCACTGGTGTAAAGCTAGGCCTGCCTCCACATCAAAGCAGTCTACCAAAGCTCCATACTGTCTGCTAACTTTAAATTTTCATCTCTTGAAATTTCCAAAACTGATATTTGACAGTTACAAAAGTGAAAGCAGGTCAATTTAAGAAATTCAGGAGCTTATGAGATAAAAATATTCATTGACAAGCTTTAATTTGACAAATATTTTAACATCAATTATATTATAGTAAAACAAAAAAACCAATCAGGTAATATAATGAATTGAATGGTTGCATTTATGTGCACACAGCTTCACTCATACATGTATGTTGGTGTTACAAGTGTTATATGGTTTAATAGACTAGTATGTTTTTTTTAAAGACCATTGTTATATGTTTCTACAGACTAGTATTATATGGATTTATAGACAAGTATTATAGTTTTACAGAATTGCATTATATGGTTTTAGAGAATGATTTACGGTTTAACAAACAAGTATTTATGGTTTTATAGACAAGAGTTTTATGGTTTTACAGAGAAGTATTATATGGTTTTACAGACTTGTATTATATGGATTAATAGATAAGTATTATATAGTTTTATAGATCTGTATTATATGGATTTATAGTGAAGTATTATATAGTTTTACAGACATGTATTATACGGTTTTACGCACTTGTATTATATGGATTTATAGATAAGTATTATATAGTTTTACAGACCTGTATTATATGATTTTTTAGAGATTTAAGGAGGTACCAGCAGTTGGGATATATAAGATGACATGTAGCCAGACAGAATCTCAAGCTCTCCATACAATCACTCTGTTTCCATGGAAATGTGCAGTGTGGCCTGGTACTTTAGATATTGTCCAGACTGATCCA